GGGTAGCTTCGCAACCCAGCGCTCAACCGCTGTGCCACCGGGGAGGCCCTGGTATGGCTTTTGTCTGGAGAGTCTGCTAGAATAAGACATGTCTTTTTTTAAGCTGTTCTTTTTTTTTTAAGTTTTTAAATTTTTTTTTATTGAGGTGACATTGGCTTACAATACTTTATGATTTAGGGGTTTGGGTTCACACCTCCTCAGATGTATTTACCACACCACACCCACCACCACAGTACCCATAATCCCCCACCATAGCCCATTTGGGCCCTTCCCTACATTACTCCCCCAACCTCCACCTCTCGTAGCTTCAATTCTACAGTCAGATTTCTAGGATTTCTTTTGATTTTGTTTTGTCTGTATACATTATCCTGTCATCTGCAAGTAGTGATAGTTTTACTTTTTTCCCAATTTAGATTCCTTCAATATCTTCCTCTTGCTTAATTGCTCTAGCTAGGACTTCAATACTACATTGAATAGTTGTGGTAAAAGTGGACATCCTTCTCTTGTACTTCATCTTAGAGGAAAAGCTTGCAGTCTTTCACCATTGAGTATGATACTGTTAACTGTAGATTTGTCATATGTGGCCTTCATTATGTTCAGGTACACTTTTTTAAGTTTTATCATAAATGGATATTGAATCTTATGAAATGCTTTTGATAAGATCATGTGATTTTTTTTTCTTTAGTTAATGTAGCAAATTGAATTGATTGATTTGCATATGTTCATTAACCTTGCATCCCTGGGATAAAACCCACCTGATTGTGATGTATGATCCTTAAAAGTAAGTGAAATATAAAATTCAGTTTCTCAGTTACACAGATGACATTTTAAGTCATAAGTAGTTACTGACTACAATATTGGACAACACAGATGTAGAACATGTATTAGACAACACAGATTTAGTACAACAGAGAAAGTTTAACTCGACATCTCCTAGAAAGTATGTACAAAGAGCACTTTTGTTGATAGTATCATATATTTATATAAAAAAATGCCCATATGATGACTTCTCAGGAAGAAAGGCAACCAGGTTGTTTACAAGTGGAACCTATAATTTCATTCTATTGTGCCAGAAAACGTAACTTTTATTTTTTTTTTTTTTTAAATATTAAATTTTATTTTTATATTCCCCCATACAATTGCAAACGCCCCATTCTGACCCCAATCCTTCCCCTCCCGCCCCCCACCCCCCAAAAAGTGTCTCTGGTTCATAGCTTTTTGTTGATTTTGATTTTCACTTTCTTATATTCATTTTCCTGGTCCCTTATTTAAGTTTTCTAGATTCCTGCTATGAGTGAGACCATCCGGTATTTTTCTTTTTCTTTTTGGCTTATTTCGCTGAGCATGATCCCTTCCAGCGCCATCCATGTTGCTGCAAATTGCATGTGTTTATCTTTTTTGAATGCTGAGTAATATTCCATGGTATATATGTACCACATCTTCTTGATCCAGTCATCTATTTTTGGGCATTTGGGTTGTTTCCAAAGCTTAGCTATTGTAAACAGTGCTGCTATAAACATAGGAGTGCAGGTGCTCTTTGGAATTGATGTTTCTGTGTCCTTTGGGTAAATACCTAGGAGTGGAATTGCTGGATCATATGGAAGCTCTATGTTTAGTAGGTCCAGAAATCTCCACACAGCTCTCCATAGTGGTTGGACCAGTTTGCACTCCCACCAACAGTGCACAAGAGTTCCTTTTTCTCCACATCCTCGCCAACATTTGTTGTTGCTAGTTTTTTTAATATGTGCCATTCTCACTGGTGTGAGATGGTATCTCATGGTAGTTTTGATTTGCATTTCCCTGATTACAAGTGATGTTGAACATTTTTTCATATGTCTGTTGGCCATTTGCATTTCCTCTTCAGAGAAGTTTCTTTTTAGCTCTTTTGCCCATTTTTTGACTGGATTATTTTCTTTGTTGTTGCTGAGTCTCATCAGCTCTTTGCAGATTTTTGTGATCAGTCCTTTATCATTAGTGTTGGGTGCAAAAATGTTCTCCCAGTTGGTGGGGTTTCTCTTTGTTTTTGTTATTGTCTCTTTTGCTGTGCAGAAGCTCTTTAATTTGATGTAGTCCCAGCTGTTTATCTTTCTCTTCACTATCACTGCTTTGGGTGATGTGTCTGTAAAGATGTCTTTGATGTGCAAATCCCGTAGTGTTTCGCCTATATTTCCTTCTATGTATTTTATGGTTTCAGGTCTTATGTCTAGTTCTTTAATCCATTTTGAGTTGATTTTTGTGTATGGTGTGAGGTAGTGGTCAAGCTTCATTCTTTTGCATGTAGCGACCCAGTTTTCCCAGCACCATTTATTGAACAAACTTTCTTTGCTCCATTGCATAGTCTTTGCTCCTTTGTCAAAGATTAGTTGACCATAAATCTGTGGGTTTATTTCTGGATTTTCTATTCGATTCCATTGGTCTGTATGTCTGTTCTTGTTCCAATACCATGCAGTTTTGATGATTATGGCTTTGTAGTATAGTTTGAAGTCTGGGAGTGTGATGCCTCCATTTCCTTCTTTTTTTTTCAGTAGAGCTTTGGCTATTTGGGGTTTTTGGTGATTCCATATGAATTTCATCAATAATTGTTCTATTTCTTTGAAGAATGCCATTGAGATTTTGATTGGAATAGCATTGAATCTGTATATTGCTTTTGGTAGGATGGCCATTTTAATAATGTTTATTCTTCCAATCCATGAGCAGGGGATGTCTTTCCATTTCTTTGTGTCTTCTTCTATTTCTTTTAACAGTGTTTTATAGTAGAAAACGTAACTTTTAAATTAATAAATCCCACTTTCTTTCCTGAAACTCCTATCCCAAAAGATTTACAATTACAGGGGCCTCCCGGTGGCGCAACAGGCTGAGCGCAGCGCTGTGAGGCTGTCTGCAGCCTCCAAGGTGCCTGTTCGTTTCCTGCCAAGCTGGGGAGAGGGGAGATTCCCTGCATGGCGCGACAGACCTCTCCTGTCTTGCCGACTGCTCCCCTCAGCAGTGTATTTTGGTTCTTCTGCCTGCTCTGCTCCCTGCTCTGTTTCTTGTGGATTCTCCCACCTCTGGCCTGTACCCCAGTGCTTGTATAAATAAATAAATCTTAAAAAAAAAAAGAAGACATTAATAAAAAAAGATTACAACTGAAGAACTTCTAAAGGGTACATATGCAGAATGTGTTTAGAGCTAGTTCAAGATTCACAGAATTTCTCCAGCTCATCTTGTGCTACTCTTCCCCTCTACATATGTGCTCATTATTGTCTTTGCACTATGGTACTTAAATGTTTATCATGTATTTTCTTTTTAAAATTTCCATCTGATCTACTAACTTAGACTGTATCTCCTAATATCTATAGATCAATAAATTGCTATTTTTGTGTATCCTGAGATTAAGCCTTAAGTGCCACTTATATACCCTCACAACCTCATATTTTTCAACTTTGTATAAGAAAGAAAATAATAGTTTTTGTTCTTAAAGGAGTGCTTTAGTGGGCCTCCTCTGTGGCTCAGCGGGTTGAACATAGCGCTGTGAGGCTGTCTGCAGCCTCTGCAGCGCGGATTTGATTTCCGGCCAGCCAGGGAGATTCCCACATGGCCTAGCAGACTTCTGTCGCGCCCTCTGCTCCCCTCAGCAGTGCTTTCAATCTGTCTGCCGGTTCTGCTCCCCACTCTGTCTCTGTTGAATCCTCTCACCCTCTCTCACCTCTGGCCTATACCCCAGCTATTGTATAAATAAATAAATAAAGGAATGCTTTAGTGAGAATGATCTTTTTTTTTTTTCCTTCTGCAGTTCTTTCAAAAGCAGACCCGTCTTATAAATTCTGTTCTATGCTGCCTGAGTCCACACTGAGCCAGGGGGAATGTTCAGGACCATCCTGTAATGTTTTGTGCCAGAGAGTAAAATACTCAACAAAATGATGGCGACGTAGTGATAGCAGCTAGACTAAAGGGGGTTCCCACTGGCCAAATCTGGGGAAACTTGAGCATCAAAATAAATGATGTAATGAATTGTAAATCATTGAAAAAATGGGCACCTTTGAATTCATACTGATGATGGATAGATGGATAGGCAGACAGATCGAATGATGGATAGATAATAATAGAGAAGAAAGGAAGGCCCTTTATAGTAGAGTGCTGACTGATCAATGTGGATATAACAGTGAAGTGGGAATATCACCTTTTTTCACCCAACATTGTAAAGTCTATTTGAGCAAGAAGATCGATGGTTGCTAAATGGAAGGGAAAAGTTTTGACAAGGAGCAGGATATTTATATAGTCTTAATTGTCTTCCCACGTATTGCTTCTTAGTTACAAGGAGGAAAATAGCTATGAAGTAGAAAAATCAGTGAAAGGCAGATGGGCCTCTGGATGTGATACCTTAAGTGACATTCAAAATCACTTATGTCAGTGGCATACATAATCAGAATTTAATCATGAAGATACATCAGATAAAACTGAACTGGAAAACATTCTATTTTTAACAAAAAGTCTGTATTCTTACAAATGTCAATATCATGAAAGATGGGGGAGAGGTAAGCATGAGCAAGGCTGAGGGACAATTCCAGATTAAAGGAAACTAAAGAGACATGACAACTAAATGCGAAGTTGTGATCTGGGCCTAGATCTTGGATTATAAGTAAAAAGGGTGATAAAAAAGACATAATTGTGAAAATTGCCAAGAGTGGAAGGTAGATACTGATGTTAAATTTCCTATTTGGTGAATATATTATTATTATGTTAAATAATACCTATGTTCTTAGGGGGGAAAAAAACAGTTAAAGACTGAAGGGGTTTGATGTCAAACTTTTTCTTAAATGGTTCAAGAAAATAACTGGTGTTGGGGGGGGTGCGGGAGGGAGAGAGAGAGAGAATATAACAACAAATATACCACGACAGTAACAGTTGGTGAATTTGAGTTAAAGCTACACAGGAGTTACCTGTTAAGTCTTGCAACTTTTCTACAAATTTGACATTATTTTCAAAGTAAAACTTTTAAAATTTGATCTGATGTTTTCTAGCTCTTTCTAAGGCTCAAAATGACGTGATGACAATCAGGATGCAATCAGAGAGACTTTCAAAAGAATATGACCGACTCCTAAAAGAACACTCGAAACTTCAGGTGGGTAACATCCACTTTATGGGCCTAAATTTTTTAAAATAGCAGTTACCTAACTCAACTATTAGGGTGATTTATCCTTCCCAAATCAGGAAGATGTACTTAAACCCCGGCTTTGTTAAGTGATTAACAAAAGCAGATCTTTACCTGGGTGGTGAAAGATTAGAACATTGCATGAAAATATAAGATAATTATAACAAAGAATTACTGACATGCTAACATACAGTATGCTAGTTATGTTGACATTTTCGGAGAAATAATTGAGTGACAAAAATTGCAGCATTGAAAAACAGACTGGTTCTGGAAAAACTTAGTATAATCATTTGAAATGTTTGCCATATTCATGTCAAAATAAAAATAAAAATTGAAGTCCCCCATCATACTACCCTTATTCTACTGTCTCAAACATCTTACTACAAAGCCTTTGGCATTCAAATATATGATTTACCTTCAAATTTTATTTGAAGTATAGAAACAACATATTTAACTTGTTGGTAAAGCCACAAAGTCAGGGTTCCTCAGTTTTCTTTTACTTCCCTTCCAGTCCAGCAAGAATAAGTTCCCAAATTCATCAATGTTGGGCTTGTCTTTCTCTGCCCTTTTGGGCTGCCAACCCCTGAGCTGAGTTCATTTCCCAGCCACATTGTGACCAAATGTGGGAAGACAGGGGAGAAACCATTCCAGAGGTAGCCCTGTCCCTCCCAAGATGGAGGGTCTATGTGCTTCTGCCTTCAGGTTAGTCTTGTCCTTTGGATTTGGCAGACTTTCGATCAGGGTTTTTGGTTGTTCCTGTTTTAGCAATTACCGCTGTACAGTTATTTGACTATTTGAGCCCTAGTCCCAAGGCTCATTTCTTTGCAACTTAGTGATCGTTGTATATCCTGGGTCTGGCACTGTGCCTGACATGAGACACGCAAGCAGGCGTTACACTCTGTAGTCAACAGAGCTGGAGTAACCATAACTCTTATGGTCTTGTGCAGGTTATGTCTTCCCTCTAGGACTTACTTTCTTCTCTGTACAATGGAAATAATAATACCTTAAACACTGGTTGTTGGGAGAGCTAAAAGTTTTGCCAAATAATTACTTATTCTGAATCAGCCACTTTGGCCTTGATTTAGAGTCAATTAGGAAGCGATCTAAAATGCTTTGTAATCTTGTATTCCAATTAAGTTGCATGTTTGATTTAACTAACCTAATTTGACAAAAGCAAGAAGAAGGGCACCCCAGAAAAAGTAGATGCCCTATGTGTTCCAGTTCCAAGATAGTGAGAGGTCAGTTCACATGGACTGGAGTAAATACTTGTTCAACAATATCCCTAAAATAAGGATCCTGAAATTGCAAATTTCATCATGGCATAATGAGAATTACTCCCTGGCGTCCTTCAAAATTTACTATGTAATTGAAAAAACACTTCAGAAGCCTCTTACCTAAAAATAGAACTTTTTTCCCTCCTACTCATGAAGTCAGGATATACTCAATAAGGATGAGTATCTACACTAGTGAACTTTGCCAGGATTTCAGCGATGTTTAAATCCCTGAATGGAGCAAGGGAAATATTCCGCAATTTGTTCTAGCCAGTGGCCACTACTGAATGCCATTGCTGTAGCAGTTAGTGATTCATTTGATCACTGAAGTGAGATTCCCTCAACCCACTTCCTCTCCTGCCAAAAAACCTTCAGCTTGGAGTATATGAATTCTTGTCAGGAGATGTAAATGACTTTTATGAGTAATTCTGTCCTAAAAAAGCAGTAGTAATACCTGTTTCTTTGACAAATAATCCACAAATTATCCACAAGTATGCCAAGCACAATGCTGAGAGTTGAGCCTTGTTCACTAGAGTACTTAGACCTTTGTCTAATTCTGCTTATATCTAGGCTTTTGAAGTATTTAATAGATAACAATTACTGAGCATATGCTATAAACCAAGCATTTGGCTAATGGCTTCATATTTGTTATTGTATTTGCTCTTCTCTACAGTAAACTAATTTTAAATTAGCCTATCAATTAGAATATTTTAAAATCCTATTTGTAGATGAGGAAAATAAGACCCAGAGATGTTATTTTAATATACCCAAAAATCACTGAACTAGAAAGTGGTAACTTTCAAAGTGAGGAAATCCTTTTCCCATGCCTCCATCATTAACTGCTATGCTCTTTGACCTGTGGCAATGTACTGTGTATTCTGGAGCTAGTCTCTTCCCACTCTTCTTTTCTCCCTATCTCAGGGAGATAAGTTGCAGGGCAGGCTTCCTTGCTCTCCGGCTCCTGGGCAGGCTCAGCCAATGGGAGACAAAAAGAAGAATAGAGACAGGAGAAGGGGAAAGTCAAGGATTTCTCCTATTCTCTCTGCTTTATGTGACATCTGCAGAGCAGCCCTCTCTCTTTCTATGGGAAACCTCCATTGGGCCCAGCTCCTGGGATCCATATTATTATTTCTTCCCTTGTCCCTCCTGCTTAAGGAATGGTGTTGGTTTTCTGTTTTTGCTGATCCCCAAGGTTCCTTACCACCATGTTTGATGTGCTCACTCATCACCTAAAAAACCAATTCCCTATAATAAATAGCTGTTCAAAGGAAAAAAACAATCAACTCTATAGCTTATCTGTTTTCTGAACCTTGAGTGAATTGTTTGACATCCATGCACCTTGGCTCCTTCATTACTTAAGTGAGGATTATAACTCCTTATGAGCATTAAACCAGATCCTGTTCAAGAAAGCACTTTAATTTTGAAACAAGAAAAGTGCCACATCACCGTTAGATACTAGTAGTTATTTCTAACTGAACACATGATTTTCCCCGTCCAGCTATCTACCACCCATTGTGTTGTATGAGATTTAGTTGTCATTAATTGAGACCCATTTTTTAAGAAGTAATTCTCACTTTGATATCACCTTCTGAGCCCTATGTGAAAAGCAAAAGATGCTTTAGACTAACCTAACTGTAAAAAGCTGAATCACATTCTCCATAAATTTTAATTCTTTTGTCAAAACAAGCCTGAGCAGTGAATCATATTCTCAAGTTCTTTGGGAAATTTAGCTTTTTCATAGGTGACTTATTATAAATACAATAATAGAATAGAGGACGACTAAAATATTAATTTACCATAAGTAAATCTCACTTTGCATATTTTAAATGGGTTTGGATTTCCCCATCTGGTCCCCTCCCTGTTATATGCACTAAATAAATATTAGAAAATAGTCCCTTTAATTTTTTTTTCCTTTCCTGTTTGCTCTGACTCTCTTTTAGAAGAAATGAAACACAAATAACTAAGGGCCCATCCCCACATGCCAACTTTTACTTTTTGTTTTTGGGAATCACCCTTCTTCACTTAGGGCATTTGTCCGGAATAACAGTTTCAGTAAAGCTGTGATTTTTATCTGAAGTGGTGAGAAATTTATAAACATGGAAAGTGGTACCTTACCATTCAGAATGTCTCTTCTAGTCCTGTCTTTTGATTTGGTTGCTTAAAGTTAGTTACTAAAGTTGCTTTAAAAGCATTAAGGCTCGGTCTGAACAAGCACCTAATGAATGGCCGGTTTGCAAGCAGTAACGCTACGGTTCCATTTTAGGGGTTTTTTCCTCAGTGTAGACTTTTACTTCCTTATTGCAAATGATCTCTTGAGGTTAACTTCAATTCCATTTTCCTATAGTTTTAAATGATGTATTGGGTTGTCAGAAAAGTTATGACGTGTTTTTTATATGTTTGTATTGCAAAAATGCGTCATGACTTTTCCAACAACCCAATATTATAGTCCTCAATGTAATATAGTCAGCAAAGAGTAAAATTTGAGAAACTAGTTCTATTGGTATCTGAAGGACAAAAAAAAAAAAAAGGCCACACCATCTGGATGGTGTATTCTTTCCTTGCCAAAAAGTTTTAATTGGGTTTACAAAAGGAGAAATTTAGAAATTTTTTGACCTGGTATTAACTTGTAAAACAAAAGCAAAATAGATTGAAGCAGTGGGGAAAATGAACTTACTAAAAATGTTATTTTTTTTCCCTGCTACACTTTTTTTTTTTTCAAGTAAAGCCCACAAATTTTGTTTTTTTTTTAAGTATTTATTTTTGTTTATGCATATTTTTGTTTATGGGGTATATTATGCATATTTTTATGGGGTATATTTTATGGGTATATATTATATATATTATATATTATATATTATAATATGTAATATATGTAATATATGTAATATATGTAATATATAATATAATATTATATTATATATATTATATATTATATATATTTTATGGGTATATTATGCATATTTTTGTTTATGGGGTATAGGCCAGAGGTGCAGCGGTTGAGAGGATTTACCAGAGACAGAGTGGGGAGCAGAAGAGGCCAACTGACTAAAATACACTGTTGAGGGGAACAGTGAGCGAAACAGGAGAGGTCTGCCTCGCCATGTGGGTCAGCTCCCTGGCTGGGGATTAAACTCATGTCGCAGCAGCTGCAGATAGTTTGATAGTGCTGACTTTAACCCCTGTGCTACCAGGGAGGCCCAAATTTTGTATCTTTTTACATTTAGATTTTCTTAATCCATATTTTCACATTTGATTATTTTCATAATAACTATACAGAGAAAAGAGAATGTTTTATAAAAGTCCTTGTCATGCCTGTAAATCTGTTTGTTCCTCTTCATTTTAACTGCCTGCATCATATGTTTCCTTATAGGATCATTCAGGAAAAGGTAGTAAGAAAGACCTGTGAAGCTTATGAGAGAAGATTGTGATACAACGTGTCAAGATGATAAATATGTTATCATGTTAGCCTGTAGAAAATTTAAAATTCAGTTCAGAAAAATGCACTATGACCAGCTGATAATTTTTTAATGCCACACATAGGCTGTATCATGATGTTTCAGATATATCATAAAGTTTGTATTACAGCTCTTAAGTATAAGCATGTTAAACACATATTTACATAGTGATAGTAAAACATGTATAGGGTGGCTATTTACAAATAAAAGGAAAAATTTATTAGCCAGTTACATCCAAAAGTAGATTTTTATTTTTTTAATTGCATGGAACCATTTTTGATTTAAAAGCTTTGATGAGTTTCTAGTGATAATAATAATATTCTATTTAGTCATATTATGATACACTAATGAAGTATTTGAAAATAGTATTTAGTTTTAGCAAATTTTTCCACATTGAATGTGGATAAATGATCAGAATTAGCCACTATATTTATAAGGAAGGGTCAGAAAAAACAAAGCAGTGACCCTAATTTTGTTTTAAACCTGATGATGCTGTGGTTTTACTCTCATAAGACAGCTATATTGATAATTATATTTTTGTTACTGTCCTTCTACACCTGTTCGACTGTTTTTGTTGACATTTATGTTAATACATAGTTGGTAAGCATTCTGCCTTTTCAAGTTTATCTGATAAAGGAGTTTACATACATTTCCATAACTGCCATAGCACTGAATTGAAATGTATTTTACAACAATGTGGCGTTCTTAACTTGTACAGTTAATATATAACATATCAAAAAAAGCAGTGTTTCTCATTCTGTGAGTTAGTAATTATACAGATATTACCTCAAATATGCTTACACTGGTGTCACAATTTCTCTTGAGATGTTTCTATATTCTGAAAGCTAAATATTAAATACTATTTTTCCATTCAAATAGTCATTCAGAGTTTCCTTTAGAAGATGAGAAGTATTGTAATAGTAATAGGATTTAGGTTGTTCCAGTGTTTTTTGACATGAAAATCATCTTTCTTGTTTCATAAAGACTTAAATATAAAAGAAAATGGGAAATAATTACCAGAGTTTTTATTTTCCTGATCTTTGATTCTCTGTTGTTTATTCACCTTTTACCACTGACTTCATGCATACTTAAACTTTTTCATTGAAAAGTGGATGAAATGAGCAAATACATAAGAATGTTATTTCAGAAAAAATCAGGAGTTACTGCTAGAAAACAGACATGTAGAAGACATTTAACAGGAGTAAGAAATGGGAGTTAGACCATATGGGCTGACAACACCATAAATAACAAGAAAGGGGAGTGCTGAGAGGGAGCGAGCTGAACAAATGACAGCTCAAATTATCAACTGAGAAATATCAAAGTGAGAGCTACATGGGTAAATATATAGATACTGAACATTTGTGATGCTGGCCTACTGTGCAGAAATCAAATCTGACAACAGGATAACATACGGAAAAGTAGAAAATGCATAGTTTCAGAATTGGTGGAAACTAAACCTAATGCCAGCTTCACCACTGATTTAAGCCATATGATTCTCCCCCTCCCCTTGAACAAACTATTCAAACTTGGCTCGACTGCCATTTCCTTATTTCCAAAATGGGAATAAAAAGTCCAGGTCAGGATTAATATGTAAATTAAGATAACAGTGATTATCAAAGTTGTTCAGACTGTGCAGCAGTGAGTGCTCTGTGAAAAAACACCAGGATTTGAAAGATTTCCAGAAAGCACTGTAAATTGTGCATGTAAGTGATCTAAGACATCAGACCCCTCAGTTTTACAGATCTGCTACAGAGACCTCTGAAGTTGAGCAATTTTCCTAACACAACATAGAGAGTGAGATTCAGAGACAGAATCTGAGACTAGACTTTAGGTATCCTCGTATGCCAGATAAATAGCAGTTTGGTATAGTGGTAAAGTACACAGACTCTGGAGCCTAATTCTGATGCAAACCTGGCTAATACATGGCAATATTTTTGTTTAGCAACTTACAGCTAATCTATGTATAGGGACTAGAGTATTAGCTGGAGTACTAGAACTGGTTATTTTGTTTATCTAATCATACTGTTTATTATGTTCACATTGTCAGTAATAACTTCTTTATATCTTAGGCTGTATTGTAAGAGTAAAACGCGAGTATTATTCTTTCCCTTTTCCATTAGTTACATAGGATTTTGTCAGACTCTTTCTACTTGCAAATCAGCTTTGGTTACAGACTCCAGGAAGTAGCACTTAAGTTGTAGTTAAGCACTCTGGAACTTGTCATGAGTCATCTTCATGGCGCCACCTTGTGCATCAGTTCTGGTAACTAAATTACTCTGAATGAAATGAAGAGTCTGCTTTCAATGATACTGTCCTGATGCTGTGACCTGCCCAGCAGTCTAAATGCCCATACCTGTAATTCCTCTGCTTTCCTGCAGTGACATTCTTCTTTCCTCCCTGGGCCTCCCAGCCAGTCATTGGGATACACCTGCATCTTTTTCTTGCTTTACCTCTGTGGGTCATTCCGCTTCTTCACCACCATTCTGTTGTCCCCATCCTTGTCACCACCTTCCCATCTATGTCCCACCACAGCTAAGGTGTGGAATACACCTTGCATTCAAGTGCCAACAATATAATGTTCAAATATAGCAGCCATTTTAAGCATTAGTGTTATAATAATCTAGAATGACTTATCCAAAGTCCATGATTTTAAAATAAAAGTGACTATTACCTTATGTGAAAAAGCTGAGATGAAGATAAAGATCTTGAAATGAAGAGATTATCCTAGATTATATGGGTGGGTCCTAAATGCTGTCATGTATCCTTGTAAGAGGCAAAGGAACATCTTCGGCAGCAGAAGAACAGAAGGTAAAGTGACCAAGGGGCAACAATCAGTGCAGCAGCCACCAGAGCTGGAAGAAGCAAGGAGCAGGTTGTCCCCTAGAGACTCAAAAGGGAGCATGACATTCCAGACTCTAGTTAAAATGATTTTGGACTGCTGGCCTCCAGAACAATGAATCAATAAATTAGCTGTTTTAAACCAAGTTTGTGATAATTTGTCACAGCATCTACAGGAAACCAATGCAGAACATGCAGGGCAAATCTAATGTATTGGGCTGGACTGAAATTCCAAAATGTGTGGAAAAGGTATCGTTTAATAGCACTTGGTCTTCTTAGCCATTTGGGTAAATAAAAGCCTCCACCATCTCCTGCCTTTTTTTTAAATGCAAAGAACTGGGGTGTAGGCCAGAGGTGCAGGGGTTGAGAAGATTCATCAGAGGCATTGTGGGGAGCAGAACAGGCGGGTCTACTGAAATACACTGCTGAGGGGAGCAGTGGGTGAGACAGGAGAGGTCTGATGGCCATATATGGGTCAGCTCCCTGGCCAGGATTGCACTTAAGCTGCAGTGGTGGGTGATAGCACTGAGACAACCACTACATCACCAGGGGGGGGCCCTGAACTCCTGTCTTGGTTTTTTTTCTCCTCCAATTTTATTCTCTGCATTCCTACTGCCACTGCAAAACCAAACTATAATTATTTCTCACATGGACTATTGTGACAACTTTGTGCTGATATCCCTGCATTCTCTTATTCCTCTCCTAAGTACATACGTTCATAAATCATGTCATTCCTTGCTTAGCTGTCCAATTATTCCCCATTGACCTGACTAAAATCAAATTCCCAAGACCTCCCACCTGCTTTCCAGACTCATCTCAGTTTATTCTTAGAATGAGTCAAGTTCTTTCCCCCTTCACGGCTTTTATAGATTCAGTATATCCAATATCCCAACCCCTGTCTTAAGCTAGTTTATTATATATCATAGTATTTTACCACTCTCTGAAATCATCTATGCTTTGGTTTTGTCTCCTGCTCTGTGACTATCTGTTACTGTACACAGTAGGTGAGTGGTTTACATCAGGGAGTAGGGGCATTTAACAATGTCTACCAATGTTTTTGGTTGCCATTGCTAGGGGTATGCTACTGCTGGGTAGAATCCAGGGGTTCTGTTAAAGCCATCCTATAACCATGAAGAATCCCCACAACAAAATGCCAGTATTGGCCCAAAATGTCTGCATTGCTGAAGTTGAGCTATCTGCAGCAGATGTTTGTGATAGAAGGTACCAGTCCCCCAACAGCCATTCTCAATTTGATCTGTGGTAACAGTTAGCCCTGTGTTTCTACACCCAGCTGCCCAACATAAAGATAATAGTTTCCAGTCCCTTTGTAGGTACAGATATGACACTCCTGAATTGCTATTCAGTCCATAGTTGAGTAAGTGTAATTCATTGTCTCTCTGCATGGTCTAGACATGAATAGAAAGCCAAAAAGCCACAGATAGAAATGCCCAGCCAAATAGGATTGACACAAAGTGTGACCACTAAGGCTCAAAAACATGCCACAAGTCTAAGGCACCTTCTGGCAGGAATCGGAGGAAGGGGCAGAAGAAGCCAGGCAAGTCTGAGTCTAAAGAAGCAAAATTAAAGTAGAAATCAAGATAAAGGCTGTCATTATCAGCCTCGCCACTTGTCTCTCACCCACATCTCTTTCAATCGACTCTACGTATCTTAACGTCATGTGTCTTTTCCATATCCCCCAAACCCTGGTGCACATTCAAAGTCGAGGAGCACATTGATTCTTCACAAGTGCCCCTGCTCTGTGTGTCCTCCTGTGTTTCCTAGAGTCCTCTCTAGCTACCCCTTGCTGCTCAGCTCCACCCTTCATTAGGTGAGGCAGGAAGCATGGAACCTCCCCTTTTTATAAATGGAAATTACCTCTGGAACTCTCACAATATCTCTGCACTTCCCACTGTAAGGTTCTTCTTGAGAAGTAGACACTTGGCCTCTTCTTCCTTGTTTTTGATTGTGACTAGTGCCACAAAGAATAAACACAAGAGCTTTCAGACCATCGTGTGTCTTCACATAGCACAGAAACGTTTTAGATGTAATTGTTACAAAATTAGAAAAACAAGTTTCTTAAAAGTGTCTTGTTCTGGATAATTGCCCCTTTCTTAAGTTTGAGCAAATAATTCATTTGAAGTTTGGACTTTGCCACACC